TGACCAGAATTTGGCTGTGATCATGTCTCCTGCTGCTCTGTAGAGTCTGAATGTGATTTTTTATGAGTCTCCCTGCTGCTCTGGGACATCATCAGTGCAGTAATCACTGCAAAGCAGACACAGTGTCTTCCTGCTTAATGTTGTGTGTAAAACGGAGGTGATAACAGGAGGGGGAGATGAGACCGAGGATGAGGAGGATGAGGAGGATGAGGAGATACTGAACCTACTTCTCATTCAGTCCCATGGGACAATGAACGTACCATCAGTAAAACAAGATGGCTAAAGGCCAACGGGTTTTAGCATGACTCAGAAAGAGTCTGAGAAAGAGAAGTGATGCAGAATAAATCAGGTTACAGGGAGGAATCTGGTTAACGCAGAAAGATGGGAGAAGATGGGAGCGTCCACAAGAACAGTGAACAACAAAGCTGGATGTTCAGTAGAACTCTTTGCAACTGTGGCAGAAGTTCTTCAAGTGTTCGACTGCAACACCATCAACATGGAATCCATCATTGTTGTTATGTTTGACTCTTTTAGGGTTATAGTTCATTTTAGAGGAGTTTTCTAGGTCCAGATGAATATACAAGAAAGTAACTTTCACACTACAACCTTTTTCTTTTTTTTAAGCCTTTTAGTTCTTCTAAAACAGTTCCTGTGTAGACACAAGATACTGACAGACAGTTTAAAACGTTTCCCTTTTAGAAAAAAACATTCCTGGAGAACAGAGCTGAAATCCTAACTGACCCAAAGATGTAAATAAAATTGGTCTGAATTCATGTCAGACAGGGAGAATCTTTACATTCAGTAAAATCCTGGTTTCAGCTGGAACTCCTTGATCATTTTCTCCTCTGTTCCAGTTGGTGAAGGTCTAACCCATAACATCATTTTGCTGTAAATCAATCTTCTTCTCTCCAGAAAGTGGGCTTTATCGTTTTTAGCAATGATGTTAATCAGATGAAATACTTTTAAAAAAATGTATCTCTGTCATGATCTTTGATGACACACAGTCATGACTTTCAATTAGCTGATTGAATTAATTGCTGCTTTAACTGATGAGATGTTTTAAGGGACAAAAGAAACAACCCACATGGATTTAATTAGGAGTTACTTAACTTTACAACATGAAGTGACTCCATGTTTTAAGAAAAACAGCCAGAGCTGTGGATGAGCATCGGTGAGCTGTCCCAATACGAGATGCTGAAGTGTGTGTGTGGGTGTGTATGTGTGACGACAGGGTGGGGGTGTAAAGAGAAAGTAGGCTAGGAGGCAAATGAGAGAGAGAGAGGTGCTGAAGGTGACCTAATATCAGAGAGTGAAGCACACATTGATTGTGGAGGACGGGATTTTTGGAAGGACGTCCAAGTCAGACTGAGGATCAGCAGCAGCCAGGGTGTGGATATTTAAGCACCCTTAGATTCTCAGTAGGAAACCAGTCCTCCACTGGGGAGCTCTTTGATTAACTGGGGACGGTGTGTACGGAACGTCAAAATGTTTAATGCTTTATGAACATTTTCCCACCAAAATATCATTACAGCCTTCAAACAGCATCTTTTCTTCACCTCTGTTAGGAATTCAAAATCTTTGTGCATTTATTTTTATTAACTGGTTCCTCTTTGGACTTTTATTTTGAAGTAGCAAAGCAGGTGGTTCTTGTTCAATGAAGCACTTAGCATGTATGGAAAGTCATAAGTGACACTACTGAATATATTACAAAGGCCCAAACTTGATGTTTATAAATGAGAAAACTGTAATAAAATTGGAGGAATCTGGACGACAGTACCGGAAGCAGGTTGGTACTCTGACTGAGGAAACAATGGGGTCAGGTTACCACGAGATGTTGGAGAACCATCTGGTGTCTATCAGAGGAATCCAGCTCCTATTTAAAGGCACATCCAGGCTGATGGCCTGCAGCTGGAGCTACACCTGCCTGACTCACCCTGCAGGAGAAAAGGAGGGCACACACACACACACACACACACACACACACACACACACACACACACACGCACGCACTCAGCTCCGTGTTTATATGGAAATGTGAAATATTTGTTTTTATTAAAATTTTACTATGATTTCCTCATTTAATTAGGGCAACCAGTGGTAAATTGAGACCTTTAAAATGTATTGAAAAAATATATATTTGTTTAATTCCCTATTTTATTCAAATAGCTTTTTACAGAAGCAATATCTTCTGGAACTGGTTCCAGCAAGCAGAACAAACAGATAGAGGAGTGGAGGTGGGGGGAGGAGTAAAGAAGAAGGGAGAAGGAGACAGAGGAAAGAATGAGACAGAATGTACTATAAATCATGTCTGTAAATGGTCAATATGAATTCATTTCCCAGAATACCATGAGGCAAAGCTGTCGGCTGGCCTGGCTGCTGCCAGCATTGTTCTGTTTATGACAACATGTAGTAGTCATAACAGCCTGCTACACCTCCATGTTTTATAAAAATGTGCAAATATTAGTGTGTAGAAATATCTCTGCCTGTGTGCAGGTGGTCCCAGAAACGGTCTACCCCCAGCCTTCTCCTTCTGATATTCCTCTGGGCCAAACTGACACGTTTCCTCCCAGCTGTCACTGTAATTTATCCAGTTTTGTCCTTTTCCTGCTGCTGACACTGAGATAAGCTGTGTTCACCATTGATTAAGGCTCAGCACATTGATAACCTGCAGTAACAGCAACACAAGCTGCAGCTGCTGCGTTTGAAAAGGTTACTGAAGAAGAGCCGATGCGGAGATCTGTAGAAATGTTTAAAGTGTCACTGACACGATTAAACCACTGACACGACTTAAACAGATGAACTCCTGTGCTTTCATACTGAGTACTCAAAAGCTTTTCATGATACATATTTCTCACAGAATAAATACAGTATCGCGGTTTCCTTCTGAGTCATATCCCGGCGCCATCTTGTGATGTGATCAGGGTAAGTCAAACCTTAAACAGCCCTCAGTACACAGTGAAGGAGGTTGTGAGGGTTTCAGCGAAGATGTGAGCAATTTATCTGTGGTTTTGGAGTGATGAAGAAGAGGGAGCTTCTACTGAAAGACTTCCTTTCAGTAGAAGTCTTTCTGAGCCATATTATTCAGTCGGTGACTCCAATGTTTCTGGGGAGGAGGGATCCGAGAGTGAGAGGCTGGAGATGGATGTCTGTCGCCTCCAGAACACTGAATGGTAATAAACAGATCTATGTAAGTAAAGGCTGGCAGATCTGCATCTATAGGATTCTGTCAGAAATATTTATTATTAAAATATTTTGTGTACAGAGAATGAAAGCACAGCAGTAGCTCATCTTTTTAAATCATGTAAGTAGTTTTATTGTGAAACAATAATGATATTTTCTCATAGGTTTGGAGTCCTCAGGAAAAAACTCAAAGGATATTGAAAAATGGTTGGGTAGAACAAAGTTACCAGAAAGTACTTTTCTTCACACTCGGTGCTACATGTCAGCACAACATCTAGATTATGAACAACCCCAATCATGTAAAAATAAAAATATAATGAGCTGCATCCCAACATGCCCTGTTTCCCACATGGATGAAATTCAGTGTATGAAGAACTTGCCGATGTAAAAAGTGTCCAGTGTGCCCCTTTCCCCTCTCCTGCTGTTCAGACAGTACTGCCAGCACTTCATCACCTTTTGCATGCATTTGACCTGCTGGCGTTGCAGCTTCTACTAGTGGTCAACGGATGACAAACAACTCTGTCATAAAAAGGCTCGACAACAATCTGCTGCTGTTCTGCCAATCCTGATTTATCATCAACTGCTCCTTTTTGACGCACCACTAAATCCTTTGTCTGCACCTGCACTCCAATTACAGAAAACAGTAATAATGTACAAACCTGCTGGCACCTGCAGGAAGCAGAACAGGATGGGTGTCAGCATCCAGATGGAAGTCCTGTGCAGACCAGGCGGGTTTGGGCTCACTGAAGTCATTTGTAGTCTATATAATCTCTCTAGTTTGCTTCTCTCTTGCTTTACTGTGGAGCCTACAGATACCTCCTTCCTATCCATTACCTGTGTCATGTGTCGGGGTCGGGCAGCTTCGCTCTGTCTTCCAGCTCTGTCAGCACTTTCGAGGGTCAGGCAGATAAATGAGCAGATCAGGACCTCGGTGTGCTGCTGAGACATTAATTGAATTGCTGTTTTATGAAAGGGTACCACAAATGTTGAGTTCCTGGAATTTCACTGATTCATTTTCAGTAAGGGCCTGCGACAGACTGGCGACCTTTCCAGGGTGACCCCGCCTCTCGCCCGGAATGTTAGCTGGAGATAGGCACCAGTACCTCCCGACCCCACTAAGGGACAAGGGTGTAAGAAAATGGATGGATGGATGGATGGATGGATGGATGGATGGATGGATGGATGGATGGATGGATAGATGGATGGATGGATGGATGGATGGATGGATGGATGAATGGATGGATGGATTTTCAGTAAGTCTAAATTCATTATTGCCTTTTATTATTTCAGTGTCATTCGTGGGGTTTTTAGTCCCAGAGGAGCACCAACAGTTTTGTCGGTGTGTGCACATTGTGTCTCTGCAGCACATAACAATAATTTTTATTATCCCAACAAATGGCGGCAGCACATGTGCTGAGGCTGCAGATGACATCCCAACACATCCACAAGGAGCACAGCTCTGAATCACGACTGGACTCACTGCTGGCTGTGTGTCTGACCGATGCGGGGTCAAAGGTAAGGTTGGGCTGCCGGTCCACACACAACATGCCGATGTGAGTGGACCAGCAGCCCTCCAGCATGTCATGAATAATAAAAGAGAGCCAGAAAACACACATGTCTCTGTACGGCGGCTGAGACTGGACAGTCTTCATCCACCTCAGCTTCGTGTCAGACCTTTGTTCATAGGAGATGAAGGTTACAGATTCAGCATCATGCCTTCAGTGCTTGTGTGTTGTTGTGCTGATTTTTATTCAACTCAGCAGCCTCTCTGGTACAACAACAACATTTTTCCTCGTGACGTTTTCAAAATCTGACTGTACACATTTCCTTACAGCAGCCTTCACAGGCCAGTGAGGCTCTTCAAGGCTCATTAGATGTGATCATATACAGGAGCCGGAGAAGACCAGCGTTAGATAGAACCTCATACATCAATGGGAAGAAAAACTAAATCAGAAAGAGAACCCAGGATCTTCTTGCTTCAAAAAACGGCTTGGAAAAATGATTCATGCTTGACCTGTATTTTATTTTGTGACATAACAATCTTCAGTGTATTTTGTCGTAAAATACCAGATTAAATTCTCTTAACATGCATGCATGGCAAATAAACTGTGCATTTTTTTAACTTAAAATTTGATAAAATTCTCCTTTGCTCAGTTGCACATCTATCAGATCACAGTATGCTATTGCTATTCTGATAACTGCACAGTGTTTTTTTTTTTAGTTTATATTCTTGTGCAGTATAATATAATTACTGTAAATCTTCCTTTTCTATATTTTGAACCTTTTTTGATCATTTGTATGAACTTACATATCTTGATGCTGCTGTTACACTTGAATTTTCCCAATTTGGGACATTAAAGAATAGTTCTGTTCTGTTCTAATATTAACTATTTTATGCAATGTTTTGTACATTTGACTTTAAACGCAGTTTAGATAATTTTTAGTAATACATTTATCTTAGCAAAATATAAAAAATAGGAGAAAAGAGCAATCTTTTTTAAACAAAACAAAATTCTCATCAGTATTCTGCAGAGACGTGAACGGAACCACTCTTAACTTCAGTGTGTTGGAACATAAGGAAATATAAAACATGCAAGACAGGCGATCTTTGAGGACTGACTTTTAAAGCCATCAGGTCAGTCATTCATCGTCACAGTCTGAACTAAAACCCAAACAGACACTCAAATCTCAATGGTTGATCTGTTTTGTAAAAAATAAAAGACAGAAATGTAACGATCCAGGTGTGCAAAACCTCTGCAGCGCCAGGTTCACTTTTTGAATTTCTCCCAAACATCAGCAGAAGACAGATAGAATCCAGATGAATCTTAATGTTTATTAAAACGCAGGCAGAACAAAGAGCAAAACTCTGAGCATAGATGTGGATACAGAATTTATACTCAGGGAGGGAGTGATTACACATAGAAGGAACAGATGAGAGTCATTAAGTGAACACAGAACAGCCGTCAGAGGAGCTGAGGGATAATAGCTGGCAGGGCCACCATGGAGACAGACTAAAGACACGGAGGTGAAAACAATAAGAGATCAGAGTCACTGTTGGTCCACACAGATCAGGACACGTGACTGAAATGACCCTAAAGGAAGTACACTTAGATACCACACTTGTAAAATAATTTTTGAAAACATTTTCCTCCTTTTCTCAGTAATATGTTCATCACATAAAATTCATTGAACTTTCCAGTTGTTATCTAACCAACATGGGAAAAGGTGGAAGGGGTGTGAATACCTTTGGGATGAGCCGTAGGAGAGGATCTGTCACATCACATCCCAAACACCTTCAGATATTCCAACACTTATTTTCTTCCCACCAGGCGTTCCAACTGATGGACTTATTCTTTTTCTCTCTTTGTTATGAACTAGATTCTAAATTATGAGTGTTAACGACCACAGTGATGTGACTGATGTACAGACCCACTCGTGCTCAGAGACCATCCCTCACACACACACAGGTTGGGACTGATCGCTTAGCGACAGCATTACGGCCTTTCATATGTTCCTGGCTCTGTTCTCCATTAATGTGACGACCTTTTTACGGCTTCATCAGTCCTCACAAATATAGAGAAGCGTTCTCGAAGTGAGAATAGTGTAACATGCTCTCATTGGCCTCAAAGGCACAAGATGGAGCAACGCAAAACTAAAAATACTGAATACAAATTAGAGCTGAATGTTGACCTCCTCCTTCCTGATTGGTGGAGATGGCACCGTTCTGCAGTTTAATGACAGGCCAGGCAGTGAAGTGGAAAACATTTTACCGCCGGTCTGACTTTCTCAATCTGTTTCTTCTTTACGGACAGCCCTCCTTCCTGGAAGGTGTTCTGATGGGTAGATTCTGTGGTTTCAAGAAAAAGCCACCATTTTCTTAATATTGATGAAAAAGTACAAGTTTCATTGGCATATTGATTCACTTATGAGAAAAATATTTTTTTAAATAATCTGCCAATGGAACAAGTACTTTTTCATCAACATTAAATTATAGATTTAAAACAAGCTCCAATTTCTTGCGGAAAAGTAACTTGTAAGTTGGTTTTGTCTTATTTCATGTGTTTTATTGTATTTATACTGGAAACTAGACAAAAACACTTGTTAAGACTGTGTTTTGCAGTGAAGGGATGTGAAAATATCACAGGATTTAAATGATGTTCTCTTACCTGCTTTCTCAAGTGGAATTGAATGCAGTTTAAAGTGTTGGTGTGAGTCCTTCAAGCGAACATTACTATTTTACTTTCAGCCAGCAAGAGATGTTAGAAATGACACAAGACTCTTAAAGCATATTGCTGCCTACATCTTTAAAACTACTTTAAATAGAACCTAACACCTAATGTACCAGTAAGTCTAATGACAGAACTCTGCACACACACGTATATAAAATAAATCTACACTGTGGGATGACAGAAGAACAGGATCAATACCTGATTACTGGAGCTGCTGCCTGTGCCTTAGGGCCTGATAAGGCACCATTCACGTATAATTCACTCTGTTCACCAGGATCTGTTCTGACCGTACAATAAGAAAACAGCTGATGAAGGCTGTCAGCATGATTAACCTTTGCCTTGTTTGTTTTCCCCACCCAGTCATGTCAGCCATTTATCTCTTCAACACTCACACTTCTCTCTCTTCTCACACTCACACACACACACACCCACACACACACACACACACCCCCACACACACATTCCAAACAGATACCCTTTCTCTGAGACTCCACCCTTTGTTTGAAGGTTAATTAGCTTGAATCCAGAGTGTAGATCACAGTGCTGAGATCAATCTGAACTTTTCCGAATCTATCTATCTATCTATCTATCTATCTATCTATCTATCTATCTATCTATCTA